CAAATTGAATGGAAATCTATGGATGTATACTGTATTCTGTATAAGTTTAGCTGATTTTGTTGTCAGTATTACTTAACATATAAATTGACAGATTTTAGCTATTTTGCAAATCTGGGTTTCACTCCATGAAATCAGTTGTAAATCAATACATAGAAAGAAAATCAAATACTGAATAAAGTTACAATGTTTTGAATCTGAAAAATTTTATTCTGTCGTAAATATAAGACTCATACAAAGTGTGAAATTTCAGTAATAAGTTTACATTAAGAGTTTGAAAATAAACAAATGTATTAAAAAATTATTTGTTTTGTTTGGATGTGATCCATACCCTAACAAAGAAGGCATCCATTTCCTCTTTGGAAATTTCGTTGATTTCGGCAAAATATGGCAATTCTCTGAGCGTTGAATACCAGCGCTCTATATTAGGATAACCACTGAACGAGAAGTCAAACCAATGAAAGTTTGCGATTATAGCCCCCAATGAAAAGTAATTTCGTTGATTTCGGCAAAATATGGCAATTCTCTGAGCGTTGAATACCAGCGCTCTATATTAGGATAACCACTGAACGAGAAGTCAAACCAATGAAAGTTTGCGATTATAGCCCCCAATGAAAAGTCAGCAATTGTTAAGTGATTTCCGATCAGATATTTGTTGCGACCGATCAAAGCGTCCAAAACTTTCAAATTGTTGTTAAAAGCGGTCACTTTATCTTCGGACGGATCCACTCCACTCAAGTGTTTGGCCACCTGTTGTCATCATAAATATGAATATATTTATGATGACAATGTAATTAAACTCATTTTATGCTATCGTTTACCAAAACTTCTCTAAAGGCAGTCATGAATGTGTTGTCGAAGTTAAGGGAGCGGTCGACCAGAGCTCGCGTTTTAGGATCTTTTGGGTATAGACTACTTTCCGGTGAGTATTGGTTGCACAGGTAGGCCAAAATGGCTCGGCTTTCCCATAGATTAAATCCATTATCACTGATTGCGGGCACTGTATGAGCCGGGTTTATCTATAATTTATTTTTTAAAAATAAATCACTATTGATCTGGGCATTTATATGGCATACCTTTAAGAATTCAGGTGTCATGTGTTCATTTGCCG